CCGGGGCGCGCGGCCCGGGGTGGGCCGGCCTCCAGCCACTGGCACACAGCCCGGGGCTTGCCCCCGGGGCGCACGGCGCAAACACGGCCCAGTCTGGCCTGGCTGTCGCTGCTGGGGTGGGTGCCAGGCCATGCAAGGCCCCGCGAATGTGGGAGAAAGGGCACCGCTGGCCGGCGCTGCGGGGATGGGGGCAGGCCGGCGCTGCAGGAGCTGGGCGCGTGGTGCCTGATGGTACCTCGTGTGCACCTTACAGCTGCCGTCAGGTGCCCCACATCGGTTGGTGCCCTGGGCAGCTGCTCACCTCGCCCACCCCTTAATCCGGCCCTGGACGTGCTATTTCGAAATAAGCGATTTTGGAATAATTCTTCCAGAATAGCTTATTCTGGAATAACTGTGCAATGCGGACGTAGCCCCTGGGTGCTTCCCAGAGGCGTTGGGATTCTCTGGCAAACAGCTTCTCTCAGGGGCCTGCTTGGCTGTGGAGAGATGCAGCAGACACCAGAGCCTCCAGCGGAAGTAGGTGCCGCTTGCCTGTGGGGAGGATGGCCCTCCGAGGAAGGAGTCCTAGGTACAAAAGCATGCTGCAAAGCTACCTGAAAATCCTGTGGGCACAAGGCTAGACAGAGAGAGGGAAAGGGGTTTTAGAGGCCAAATGAGACCAATGAAAAACAATGCTCCAGGACAGCAGGTTTTCGTCTAATTTCTCAGGCGGCAGGAAGGAAGGGCCACCCACTAACTAACTAACTAACTAACTAATGAACTAACTAACTGACTGACTAAACCCCCCACCCAGGCATCAAGGCTTCCCAAACAAAGAGAAAGGCGAGCCAGCAAGACATTTAAAACCACTCATCTAATTTCATTTCTGTGTCAATGGACAGAGCGTGCTAATGTGATGCTATTCACTCTACCCCCAACCCCGTCCATTTCAAAGCACTTCGCAGGTGCCATCAGTGCTCCCCAAAGAGCTATGAGATACCCCAGTATCGGGAGACTAACACAGGAAAGCCCAGGGGTTTTACCCAAAGGGTACAGAGGGCACCAGTGTCAGGAGAAAACTCAGAACTTCCCAATTCCCACCCCTTTGGCCCAGCCACTCACCTTTGCAGGACTGATGCCAATGGCAGTTTCTCCAAATCCTTCGATGGGAGTCGAAATGGTCTCTAAGCCACCTAACCACATCTCCCAACATATCCTACAAAAACTCCCCAAACACCCTGCACTACATGCTGGTGAGTTGCCCAGGGAGATACCTACCCCAGCTACGCTACACTCATGCATCAACCCACGTGCTCCCAGTGCAGCCCCGCACGGTGACAAAAGGAGACAAGACGCACGTACACAAGCCATGTAAGCAGGGGGGTGGCTGCATTCCGATGGCTCTTAGGTCGATGTCATTTTGCAGCATAGACATGCCTGGTTATGGCCGGATTATTGACACAATGGCTTGGGCTGTCATCATTATACTACATGGAGGCACCTGGATGGACAGCAGGTGAGGCGCACGATGGCTTGTGAGCCTGAGTTATGCAAGATCTGACTGTAATACCCACCACTACCCAGACTAACGCCATCTAGCTCCCCATGTTGTGTTCCCAAAAACCCACAGCGCACCATGCTGGCGGGCCGCCTCCCTGCACTTTATTATCCACAGTGGACTGAGCCTGCAAGACCCCCAGACACAGCACACACCAGGCAATGGACATACTAGCTCCAATTCCGCAACAGGCCACGTGCAGTCTTCCTGTAGGCTGCAGTGAAGGTTTGAGTGTCCATGTGACTGCCACCGATGCCCAATCAGGACATGCCGTGAGCAGGCAGGCAGGTTCCTTTTGTAAAGATCAAAGTGCTTATTTTCAAACTAAGACCAGACAGGCCGACGTGGGCCATACTTAAAAAAAAAAGAAGCAGATGCTGACCTTTGGCAAGCGTTCAGGGTCACCAGGGTGCCGGGGGATGACCTTCTGTAACCTTTGGAAACCGTAGTCGATGGTGGGTTCGTTCAGGGCTGAAACAACAACAAACAACACGGTGAGAGGAGAGGAGACAAGTCAAGCGCGGCGGCTCAGCCGGGCGGGTACCAAGTGGCAGTGCACTGCAGGATCAGAAAGCGATCAGAGCCACATCTCACTGCAGGATCAGCAATGACGTCAAGCTCTCGCTTCAAGCACCGTTTGAGGGGAGGCGGGAGGCTTTGGTTTGAAACAACACCAGAAAAACCCTTCCTGCTCAAGGTGCGGTGACAAGGCTGCTGCAAAGTTCCAGGCCTTTGTAAACAGCCCCCGAGTGTGGATAATGATTGTCTCCCAAAGCCTTGATAAATTCATTTGATCACCGCTTTGCTCCCCGCATTTCATTCGCTTCTCTTTTCAAAGCGAGAAGGAATGGCACAGCATCAGAGACTCACACTCGATTACGTATTCGGTGCCACCTGCGTGTGGAGATCACATGCGTTTTCACTGTACGCTTTGGGGCACTGTTGTCATGGCCAGAGCTCAGGTCTACAAGCCTCTGAACTTAATGGCAACATCCCCATTGACCTCAGTGGTCCGGGGTCAGCTCCCACATTAGTAACCTCCAAGCTCAACCTGCAGCATTTATTTCATGGAATAAATTTCATGCCTTTTGCATGTTTAGGGTTTTATCCACAGGCATCAAGGGGAAGGAAAAAGGGGCATGAAAAAAGGGAGGAGGAAGAAGATTTAAATTCTTATGAGAGCGCGACCGTACTAGTACGGACAGAGGCCCAGATTCAGTGCAGCAGCTAAGCACATGCTTAAATTTAAGCATCTGCTTCAGCCCATCCCAATTCAGCAAAGTGTTCTGGCAAGTGGTGTGACTGTTCAGAGCCACTGCTCAGTGTGGCCACTAGGGGGCATCTGCTAGGGAAATAAGAGTCCATGGAAATAGGAAATAAATACTCTTGCATTCAACTGGCCATGCTGTGCGGGGTTTCTCTCATTTCTATGCCTCATTTAAAGCACTGAAGTCAGTGGAAATTCAGTGCATGCTTAAAGTTGAGCATGCGCTTAAGTGCTTTGCTGGGCTAGAACCAACAGCAGGCACTCTTGAGCCTCCTGACACGGTGGTGTTAATATATCCTGGCCTGTCCCAACCAAGACCTCCTGCCACTTCAGCCTCAGACCTCCCCTGAATTGTGAACGCACCTTGCACGGATGTCTAAGGTGGCTTTGTTATGAGGACTATTGTGTTCTTGTAAGTAGGGTCACACTGTCTCGTGCATTTCAACAGATTCAGGGTCACGTTTTGCAACCCTCACTCACAACGAGCAGTGCCCTGGCTCCACCAATTGCTCAGGGAGATGGCCAGCAAGGTTGGGTGCACAGCTTCTGACGCAATAGCAGCAGCTGGTCCCAGGCCCTTTTGAATCAACGATTCCCTCCCTCTCCCCATCAGAATGCCTGACAAAAGCATTTCAATATTCCTTAACTGGACATCCTTGGCAAGTTGTGCTTTACCGTAAGCACCCACACAGTTATAAAAGTAATATCCTTGATCTGGTTTTTACCAGTCCCTCCGCTCCTCTGGCCAGTCCTTCCCCAAATAGGATAGCTCCTCGTCCACTGTCAGCAGCGAGGTGTTCCATTTCCCTTCCTCCTTTAGCTAGGTGTTCCTTTCCTGCCTCCTGGGCAGCCCCGTTTCCACAGTGGGCATTTGGTTTGGAAACAAAGGGTCAGAGTCTTGCTCCCCTAAACTGAATCCAGCTGTTTCTCTAGCATCAGAATCGGATTCATTAGGTGGATCCCCGAAATGACTTTGCCATCAGGCTAGCAGTCTTCCAATAGGAGAGTTCCCCAAGTAGCACGGGCATCTCTCCACGACTACAAAATTAGGGGGTAACTGGTGGGGTGGCGGGCCTGCTGAAAGCGATCTGGGGGTGACAGTGGATCACAAACTGAATACAAGCCATCAAGTGTGAGGCGGTGGCTACACATGCTAATATCGCTCTGGCAGTCCGCTTGTTACCAGGGAGGTCTCAGCTGGAGTTCTGTGCCCAACTCTGTGCCCCAGGTTTCAAAAAAGATGTGGGGCAACTGGAAAGAGTCCAGAGGAGACCAACAAAAATGCCTGAAAGTTTAGAAAACATCACCTAGGACTTCAACAGGGTTCCAAAAAGGGCAAGATACATTCATGGAGGTTAGGTCCATCTATGGCTATTAGCCAGGAGGGGCAGGGATGATGTCCCAAACCTCTGTCAGGCTGGGAATGGGTGACAGGGGAGGGATCACGTGATAATTCCCTGTGCTCTTCACTCTCTCCAGGGCATCTGGTATTGGCCACTGTCGGAAGACAGGGTAATTCCGACTAGATGGACCTTTGGTCAGACCCAGTGGGGTCGTGCTTATGTTCTTATGAGGAAAGGTTAAAATAATTGGGTGTGTTAGTCTTGAGAGCAGAAGACCAAGAGGAAACCCGATAACAACGTACAAATAGGTGAAGGGTTGTTAAAGTGGACTGGGACCAATTGTTCTCCATGTTCACTGGCGGTAGGACAAAAAGTGAAGGCTTTAATAGTTAGAACGCCATTCCAAATATCAAACTAACAGGTTCGTGAAGCACTGGAACTGGCTTCCAAGGTGGTGTTTAAGAAGAGTGTGGACAAACGCTTACAGAATCACAGAATCCTAGGGTTGGAAGAGACTTCACAAGATCGAGTCCAGCCCCCTGCCCAAAGCAGGACCAACCCCAACTAAACCATCCCAGCCAGGGCTTTGTCAAGCCAGGACTTAAACACCTCTAGGGATGGAGATTCCACCCCCTCCCTAGGGAACCCAGCCCAGTGATTCCCCACCCACGTAGTAAAACAAGAGGATGGTGAAGCACTGGAATGGGCTATCTTGTCAGGGACGGTCTAGTTTTACTTGGTCCTGTTTTAACACCAGGGCATTGGGCTTGATATTTTCTTGGAGTCCCGTCCACCCCTGAATGTCTACGATTCTCTTGTCTGCTGTGAACTTTCCATCTCTGCTGTGTAGCTAGCCTGACATTGTGCAGAAACAGCTAAGCATAGTTATTTCGCTCCATGACAGAGAACAGGTAATCCAACAGCTTTCCAGTTTGTTGCCATTTCCCATATTGGCCTCACATTGTCAGCACTGATACAGGATTTGGTAGAAAAATCTAGACACAATGTACTTATTTTTTACACCACTGTTCTCATTATCTTGCAATTTCCTTATTGGGCCCTTCCTTGTGGCTATAGCTAGCTTAAACTGTAGCTAATACTTATGACAAATGACTATTTATTATAAATAGTTAAACCGTGAGATTTTTAAACAATATCCCTAGAGCTCTGCTCAAATTTCTCGTGCAGTTGTGTTAAAAGATTTTCGCAAGGTTCCGTCAAGTATGTTTCTTCTGCGTTTCAATCCAATAGCTCCCCACATCCTCCCCCGCTCCTTTAGTGAAAGTAGCTACTAAGTTCTGGGACAAGATAAATGGAGGCCAGTTTCGAAATTCCCCTCTGATATTCTAGTCATTTTCTCATGCCTTCCCACACTTTCAGCCCATTAGAAATCCATAGAGGATTTCCTGGGACTATTTTTCAAACTGGGTAACCAAAAACAAAAGAAATCATAGAATCATAGAATAATAGGACTGGAAGGGGCCTCAAGAGGTCATCGAGTCCAGCCCCCCGCCCTCAAGGCAGGACCAAGCTCCGTCTACACCATCCCTGACAGATGTCTATCCAACCTGTTCTTAAATATCTCCAGAGAGGGAGATTCCACCACCTCCCTTGGCACTTTATTCCAATATTTGACCACCCTGACAGTTAGGAATTTTTTCCTAATGTCCAATCTAAACCTCCCCTGCTGCACTTTAAGCCCATTACTCCTTGTCCTGTCCTCAGAAACCAAGAGGAACAAATTTTCTCCTTCCTCCTTGTGACACCCTTTTAGATATTTGAAAACCGCTATCATGTCCCCCCTTAATCTTCTTTTTTCCAAACTAAACAAGCCCAGTTCATGAAGCCTGGCTTCATAGGTCATGTTCTCTAAACCTTTAATCATTCTTGTCGCTCTTCTCTGTACCCTTTCCAATTTCTCCACATCTTTCTTGAAATGTGGCGCCCAGAACTGGACACAGTACTCCAGCTGAGGCCTAACGAGCGCAGAGTAGAGCGGCAGAATGACTTCACGAGTTTTGCTTACAACACACCTGTTGATACAACCTAGAATCATATTTGCTTTTTTTGCAACAGCATCACACTGTTGACTCATATTCAACTTGTGGTCCACTATGACCCCTAGATCTCTTTCCGCCATGCTCCTTCCTAGACAGTCGCTTCCCATCTTGTATGTATGGAACTGATTGTTCCTTCCTAAGTGGAGCACTTTGCATTTCTCTTTATTAAACCTCATCCTGTTTACCTCTGACCATTTCTCTAACTTGCTAAGGTCATTTTGAATTATGTCCCTATCCTCCAAACTCTGTGGTCCAATCTCAGATAATGCTAAGTGCTTCCTGGGCGATGCAGAGTCTCTTAACTTCAACTGATTCCTGTGTTTCTCCAGTGGGGATGGAAGCGTGCACTCACCCATGTACATGGTCAGGTCCTTAGAAACTGGAAAAGATGCCAGACAAGGAATGCTGCTACCAATTGCAACGTTATTATCTTTGACCCGATGCAAACTAAAACTGAGTGGCTCACCTCACCAGAGATATAGCCATGGGCACACACAGTTTTCCTTCAAATTTAGACTAGTCATTTCACTTCACTTTTAGGGGCTCTAGGTTCACTTTTACCTTTTTCCTGCTTAAATATTTAGCCCCAGCTGAGAGTTATGGACCAGAACTGCTCCCGTGACATCAAAAATACCAAAGTAATGGCCTGGATTCTGATCTCATGGACATTGGCCAAAATCTGGAGTAACTGCATCACTTCTATCAGGCTATGTCTGGACTGCAAGCCTCTTTCGAAAAAGAGCATCTAGACTGCAAGCAGAACTTTCGAAAAAGCAAGCCGCTTTTTCAAAAGAAAGCAGC